ATTACACTTCTCTTATCATTATTCTGCTGCTACTACAGCCACCCGGCTAGATTAACATTCGATGGATGGGGTGTGTCATTGAATATGTGAGTCAAAGTAATTTTACCCACTGCTGCTCATGAGATCCCAGTCAAACTGAAACACTATAAAACAGCCCTGACCGCCTCTGACCCCCTGAACTACAAGATAACCTGATAATGCGGATTTAAAAAAAAAAAAAAAGGACTTTACACAGTCATATACAAAAAAAAAGGACACCACAAACGTTCCGTTTTAAACTATTTTAAATGATCCTCTTGGCTGAAGCTGAAAAATGATCTTCCTACAAAAACTATAAACCAAACATCTATGTGCTTTTCTGTCAGCGCTGTGCTAAAGTAGTAATCAACGTATAGCCCGTAATGGCAGACCTCTGTAACCTAACCCAGCAACTTTACAGTCTAAGTGGTAGTTTAGGAAAATCTAAATCACAACCACAAAGCATCTGGCAGCAGGAAAAGCCACCAAAACATCAGATGAGCCATATGCACGACGTATGGAGCTAATAAGGTGTATGAAGGAGCTGCTTTCGTCACAACTGCAGTGATACAGGACATATCCAGCAAACACTAAAGCGGATTGAATACAGTTTGGTTTAACAGTTGTATTTGCTCAAAGTAAGAAAGAAATATAACCTGTTGTTAATCTTTTATTTGTAGAAATATGGGTGTATGAGTATGCTTTCCTACCTAACCCTCTACTGCTAAACAATAGCATGTGTAACAGACATTACATGATGCGTTTGTGAACTTTTTCCAGTTCAGTGGCCTCTCTCTTACACAGCCATGTCATTATCAGGAGGCCTGAGCAGGTGGCAATGACTGAACAGATAGAGTTGTGGTGCAGTTGACTGCAAAGTACCAAAACCTGTCCATGTTAGGTCGTTTACAGTCAGTGAACATAATGTGGTGTCGAGCACGTTTATGTTTCACAACGCTGTCAGGTTATCTGATAATGTATGAAAGATGTTCTTATAATCAGCCTAATGATGTGACACTTCGACAAGTAAGGAAATGCAGGCTTTGATGTCAACACCAAATTACATTCTTTCAACTGAGAGACTGAAAATAGCTTTGGCATTTAAGGAGCAAATAATACGTCTCACGCCTTTGATCACTGTGAACAGTGTATATATTCATTAGTTATGGTGAAGTCCACAATTGTGCAGGGCTATGTAGCCTGTAAGGCACAAGTCACAAGTGGGGAGTGAGTCATAAGCCCTCAATAAATATAAATCACTGGCTATTAATGGCTCTGTGTCAAGTTATAGACACTAACATGAATAGAAACCATCATTGGAATCTTGTTTATAGGACAGATTATGCATGGTGTGTGTGTAACTGTAGTGTATTTGTAACTATTTTCAAACTTACAATTCATAACAACTTGGACTAACCTCATACAAAAACGCACTGATAAAAACATAAACACAGCAAATATCCATATCCCTGTACATTAAGTGGTCTCCAATGTTACTACTCAGGTGTTTTCAACTACTCAAAAGGTGAAAAGTGTTCATGCCAATTCTGCTGAATCTATTTGTTGACAAATCTCTCCCAGGAAGATGTTACAAGCCTTGCATCTTTGTTTCCAAAAAGTGAACATGAGCGTGCCGTTATCCAGTGCTAAGCTTTCTTTAAAGCCACCCCAGGCTCGTAAATAACCACACACTATAAGCTAGATAACAATAAATGAGCACAAGTCAAGCACACAAAGACAGCAAGTTAGCTTCGCCAGCTAACGTATCCAAGAGCTAATGACAATAGCTGAGTGGGCTCAGACTACTCCCTGGAACAGAGCTACAACAGTGGGTGGGGGGGGGGGGGGGATTCAAAATGAGAAAACGTTTACTTGTGAGGTAGCGTAATGCAAGGGTACGTGCACGTTGAAACCACAAAGCGTTTAATAAAATGAACTCATGTTGTGTGTGTTGCATGTGCACTGTGCTAACCGGTGTCAACGAGCTGTTTGTGTCCAGACATTACACTGCTCCTTGCTGTCCAATCAGTGCTAGTCACTGGCGCTAGCCGCTAACGTTAGTCCATGGTAACCAGCAACAGTAAGGGACAAACAAGTCTCTCAGCTAACTAGCTAGCGGATGCTAATAGGCAAATTAGCCAAACAGCTAGCGAGCAAAGGGTGTACGTTAACAGTCCAACGTCTACAAACTATTCCTTTGTATTTGTCCCTTTCTTGCTCGTTTGCTGGTGAACGTTAGAGGCAAAAGAAGACGGCTGGTTGAAGCTCACAGCACTTACCTTAAAGGGCTTGATCTACAACATCTGTGATTTGTTTGATGAGAGGCTGCAACAACAAACAATAGCAGCAGCAGCAGCGGGGCAATTAGCCAACGTTAGTTAGCCAAGTGTCGCCACTAACGTTGCACAGAGTAGCACAGCAGCTGCATCGCCACCTGTATATCTTCTCTTATGTACGTTAGCTATAACGGAACGGAACCACGTTTAATATAATGCTGTCATAAGTGATGGACTTGAGAATAAAGAGGGAGTAATCGTAGCCGGAATGCTCTGACTAGTGTGTGTGAGGGGCACTCAGCATGACAGCATCCTTCTTCATCTTGGGGTGAGAACAGTTGGGGGGTTCTCAAAGTTCAACCGGTGAAATATCGTCACCCACTGGCCAAAACTGGGAACATCCACACAGAGAGAGAGACAGGGAGGGTGCACGCGTGGGAGTCCTCGGGGTGTCTATTCTGTAGCAACACTTGGTCTATCTTCATCCTTATAAACCTGTGATACTGCCAGACTATATTTAGACTGACAGGGAGCCAAGAAGAATAGAACACAATAGAATCTCTCTCTCTCTCTCTCTCTCTCTCTCTCTCTCTCTCTCTCTCTCTCAGGAGATTTGAGTGTACTGCAGTATTGAATATACAGTAAATATGCTGGATGTGTTACATTATAAGGCATGCAGTAAACAAGTGACAAAATTAGCGGGAACAATATGACAGAATTGAAAAATATTTGATCACAAAATAGAGTAGAATATAATTCCTCCATGGGGAATTAAATGTATCGGAACATCAGATTTTAACACCTGGCACAAGACAACACTGCAAAATTGATCTGAAAATAAGGGTGTAATAACACAATTAGAAGATTAACAGTATGATGAATACAACAGTATGAAATAGATTATTATCTGTGTTGGGAGATTTGAGTTAACTGTAGTATTGAAATGGCATATATTTACATAAAAGGACTATTGTAGTCAAATAACAGAATTGGAAGACAACAATATTACAAAATGTAACAATATCTTATCACAAAATAGAGTAGAATATAATTCCTTTATGGGGAGTGAAATACAAAAACAAGCACATTTTAAGACCTTCACAAGATAATTAAATTGAAAATAGGGTCTTTTATGACACAATTAGGAGTAATAGCGAATATACAGAAAATAGCATATATTCACATTAAAAGGCCTACTGTAAAATAACAAAACTGTAAGAGAACAATATGACAATTGCTGATCACAAAATAGATTAGAATCGATATATTTGAATGCAATACAAACACTGGCCATTATGTTTTTAATTGTTTGAAAGACTGTCCATATTTGAATGATTCTAACCCCCTCTAGTAGACAGGAACTTATTGTATTGGCATACAGAGATTAGAAATGATCTGCTTTATTAATTAGTTTGTTTTGTGTTAAATTAAGCTGCATTGAACACTGAAGCTAGCAGCACTTATATTCCTAATAAAATACAATCTTTTTCCAACTGAAACTGTTGTGTTTAGTTAATGATTCGGCCTCATCTCATCATTAGTGTTTTAAGGACAAATCTCTTTTGGTTGAAAAATACTTACAGGTAATTCTTCACCTCAGAAATAAGGACAGATTGTATAATTTAACTAAATAGTTTCATTTTTTCCCTCTTTGGTACGTGGACGCCTCATTTCAGCACCAGGAGCTGTCTTTAGTATGGCCTGATCAATAGTCGAATAAGTAACAGTTTGCTGATGATTTTAGGAGGCAAACTGGTGTCGCTTTTATTGGCTTTATATTTCTATTGTTATATCTACAGAAACACGCCAATACGTTTTGATGAAGCCCTATGAAGTCATCTTTAACTGTCATTCTGGAAGCCCTCTGGCTTCTTTTTTTCGTGTCTGCAAGGAGCAAGTCAGTGAAGTATACTGCATGGATCTGACCACTAGGTGGCACAGGTCTCAAGGAAAAGAAATCAAGCATTGCAGTTTCATAGAAAGTCTGTAACCGCTCTCTATAGGGCTGTGATCCAAGCAGTGATATCAATGAACAAGTAACAAAGATTTACTCACTCTTCTAAACTTTCTGTGAAAACCTTGTTAGTCTATTGAAGTGAGAGGATGTTGCTAAAGGAAATCTGCAGCCGATGATAGTCACAGGATGTTTATGGACTGTAATACATGCTTGGTAGTTTCTTTGTACCAGTGATTTGTTATACATCTCCTTGGTGATGACTGAACAATGGAGGCGGGTTCAGACCGGGCTCACACAAAGTGAATTGGTGTGGCACAGACCCAGCTGGCAATCCCCCCAGGTACTGAACCACTGGTGAATAGATCCTCATTTATCTTGGCAAGGCTCAGTACAAAAAGAGCTTGCGGAGAGCTTCTGGATTCTTGTACCTAGGGGGACAGAAATGGCGTCCCTGAGCTCATGTTTCCGCCTCTCAGTGGCACTCAGATTACATCTCACACACACACACACACTCACACACACACACACACACACACACACACCTCACACTGACAGGAGCAGTTACTGAGGAGGCCCTTTACCACAGATCATCTTCTGTGTGAGAACGCTATGAATCCTAAAGGATTTGTGATTATGACCTCGTTTATATTGATAGCAATAGGTAATCATCACCATCTATGAAGCTCTGCAGTAGTCACGTGATTTCAGACAACACCTGAACATGTGGATGAATGACAAATTTACAAAAATGTTTTAAACTATGTTGTTTATTACATATTTCTGCCAACGCTTACAGCAACACAAGACCATGTCAGATGCGACAAATTGGGCGCACACACAGTACTGTTACCACTGCTCGAGGCAGAGCCGTACTACAGTTACAGTAGCTCAAGAGCACCAAAAATCACTACAACTCACAAGAAGCTGAACGAAAAGCTCTCACACAGTTACACAGAAACAAACACTGGGACCGACACTATTCAGGAGCTAAAGCACAGTTTTGAGGATGAGCTGAGCTGTGGTTGTACTGAATGGCTTCTCCACGGCCACAGACCAGACTTGGACCTTGGATGTCAGCAAGTAATCTCTCCCTCTTCTCTCCGGACAGGGCAGGCAACCTAAAGTGGCGTATATTAGTGGGGAGTATTTATGAGCAGTTGAACACACAGAGGCCCATGGAGGTGGACCAGCTCAGATGGGGTGTCTGAAGTTCTGGCCGGCAAAACGGGCCTTGTCGCCGAGCTCCTCTTCAATCCTAGGAGTGAGGACAGTTTGTTAAAATGGAATGGATTGATAGTCTGAGAAAATCTGCAAAGCAGTGCCTCTAACGAGCATGGACCGTATATCTCAAACTGTTAATAAACGTCAGTGTAACTGTAGGCATACGTTTCTGGACTGGACTCACCTGAGCAGCTGGTTGTACTTGGCCAAGCGCTCAGACCGGCAAGGTGCACCAGTCTTGATCTGGGAAAGGAATTAAATGAAATGTAAAACCCAATCTGTAAAGTTAAAGCTACACCTGCAGTACAGTTTACCAATTAATGTCACAATTGGAAGGAAAAATGATACGTCTGTTGAGGTTTTACCTGTCCAGTGCAGAGACCGACCACCAGGTCAGCGATGAAGGTGTCCTCCGTCTCTCCAGAGCGATGGCTGACCATCACGCCCCAGCCGTTGCTCTGGGCCATCTTGCAGCTAAAAAGGAGACACATTTAAGCCAAGTTAGCCAGCTTGTACTTTATTTACTTTCTTGGATTTTGGTGCAGAACTTTGACCACACTCACGCCTGCAGGGACTCTGTGACGGAGCCGATCTGGTTGACTTTGAGCAGCAGGCAGTTGCAGGACTTCTCAGCCACACCCTTGGCAATGCGTTTGGGGTTGGTGACTGTGAGGTCATCGCCCACCACCTGGATGCTGGTGCTGGCTGTGAATTTGCTCCACGCCTCCCAGTCATCCTGGTCAAAGGGGTCCTCAATGGACACCACTGTTAGGATAGTGAGTAGGTGAGGGTAATGTTACAGCCATTCAGAAATCCAACACGTCAGCATTGATTAAGATGCCACTGAGTAATGGCTACCATCTACAGACACCTTAAACCTTCAGTAGTTGATGCTTCTGACCACTTGGTGGCAGCAGAAACACGCTGCTAAAACGCTCCGTTATGTTCACCAGCTAGCTGCTAACTTTGACAGAAGTGAACAGCAGTGTTCTTTAGAGTTTTTGCTGAAAACAGCTGCCTGTTTGGCCAAAAACAATGCTTAAGAGCGCGATGAGTGAACCAAAACAGAAACATTTACAGACACAAAGAGTTTCACGGCTGTAAAGAAGAGGATAAGTGTTGAAACCCACCAGGGTAATCTTTGACAAAGCTCCTGTAGAGGTCAGCCAGCTTGTCGGGGGAGATGTAGCGGCTGGGGTCGTCGGGGGACTTGAAGTCCAGGTCGTACTTGCCGCCCTTGTAAAACTCAGAGGCAGCCACGTCCATGCCAATCACGATCTTGTCGGTGTAGCCGGCCTTGGCGATGGCGTTCTTCAGCAGCTCCAGAGCTGGGGCAAAAACAACATACTACTGTAAAAATGTGACAAGAGACGTAGGTAATAAAATCATTCAGTTTGCACAAATGTGTCGCCACTGAAGACTCTGCTCCACTGGGGCATTTGCCATATCAGCACCCTAACCAGACACTGGAGTCAGAGGCTGGCCGTCGGTGCATTGGTTCCTGAGTCGAGGCCTTAATTTAGAAACCATATGTCGGCCCAAGAGTGACATGATAAGTGAAGTACTTCCTTGAGAGGTCAAAGAATGTAGTCACACTGTGACAACTTTTTACTATCAACTCTCTCCTCAAAAATGAAAACAAGCCTCCATCCGTGTCCTAAAATAACTAGTAATGTATTCAACTGGATGTGAACTCTGTTGGCTGGTATCGAAACCCTCTGACATCATGCTTCCTCTCACCTTCCTTGTTCTCCAGGATGTTGGGGGCGAAGCCTCCCTCGTCTCCTACGTTAGTGGCGTCCTTGCCATATTTCTCCTTGATGACATTCTTCAGGTTGTGGTAGACCTCGGCACCGATGCGCATGGCCTCCTTGAAGCTGCTGGCTCCCACAGGCAGGATCATGAACTCCTGCATGGCCAGCTTGTTGCCTGCGTGGGAGCCGCCGTTGATGACGTTGAAAGCCTGGACGGAGGCAGAGAGGATCGGCTTTCAGCTTAATGGACTCACGACTGAATTTATGATTCTCTGGATCACTCACTAATGGCGTACGTCTTTTAGGCCTATTGGCATTAAGAGTCTCTACCAAGTCTATGGGACACGGCTTCGGTAATTGCACCATCACACTCACAGGGACAGGGAGGATGACTTCAGGGTTTCCAGCCAGGTCAGCGATGTGGCGGTAGAGGGGAACGCCCTTCTCTGCTGCACCAGCCTTGCACACAGCCAGGGAGACGCCCAGGATGGCGTTAGCACCAAACTTAGCTGAGGGAGGGTAGACACAAACATCTGAATATACTGTGTGTAGACTGCATTTATAGAACATCAATGTCTTCCGATATCTAAATTCTTCTGAGCATTTTCTGGGCTAATTAAGCAAAAATCAGTAATGCATGAATTCACACAGAATTCTGAAACTTAAGTAGAATGGCAGAGGATGCATATAGTGCTCTGTATGATAAATATGGGGGATTTCTCAAGACTATCTTAGGTAGGAGTGGACAATATGGATAAAATCCTCTATATGCCATTATATATCACAATATAAACATGTATCAAGATACAGAACATTTTCTGGAAAAGCTACAGATAAAGGTATTTTAATCTTGTCAAACCCTTTCTTAAAGTAGATAGATCTTTACAAATCTGACAAAAGCTCACAAAACTCTGCACCGACATTGTGAAGCCAGTAGATAAAGTAGCGTCTTACACTTGTTTTCTGTGCCGTCCATGTCCAGCATCAGCTGGTCGATCTTCTCCTGGTCTTTAACGTTCACATCCTGGATTAGACAAAACATGACACGTTATACTGCACGTTTGGATATAAAAGATTAACTAGGCTTAATTCTGACTCGTTAGTTCAAATGAACACTCCAATAATGTTAGAATAATCTCAGAATTATATCACTGAAGCTCCGCTAATGCAATGGTTTATAGATACTTTAGATATATCATTTCTACAAATGCAAACGTCAAAAAACAATGAAGTCAATGTGAAATAGGAACAACAAACTGCAAAAATCGCACAGTTAGTAGAGACTGTCAGTACTGCTGCCAATGTTACGAATATTTTAGTGCAATCACTTTCTGTTGAGCCTTCAAGATACACTAACAATTAATTCAAGACACTGATCCATTAACTTGAGGGCTTTGACACAAACGCACAGTTATTAGTCAAACAATAAATGGTCCTACCTTGCTAACCAGTGCAGGTGCAATTTTTTTATTGATATTCTCAACAGCTTTTGAGACACCTGCAAGGGACAAGCAGACCATAACTGACCCAGACAGCAGGAGAGCATGCAGAGCAGGCGACACAGATGACCACAGCGCCCCTCATCCAATCTTATACGGACATGAAATAATATTTAACCATCTAGGATTGCGTTTTTTTATTCATCTTTTAGATCTGTGAACATCTGTTCGTGCCTTTCAAGGTTAGTTTCCAAAGGCAAAGCCATTCTTCATGCTGCTGTGCAGACCGAGGTGTGAGAGAGGCATCCTGTTATGTCACACTTTATTTACCTGGTTACACAAGGCAGGGGCCAAGAACTCATTTACATATTTAACTGCTCTTTTGACTCCTAACAGAATGAAGAGAGACGCAGGAAACAGAAATGAAGGACAGACAACAGAACGTATAGTGGCGTTGAAGTGACACGAGGGAGAGCAACAGAATAGAGGTAACCAGAAGGTTTAGAGAGAGAATCGGCGTAGACGGCTTACCTTTGCCCATGTAGCGGGTCTTGTCATTGTCACGGAGCTCCAGGGCCTCGTAGATGCCGGTGGAGGCACCGCTGGGCACTGCAGCTCTGAAAAGACCTTGGAGACACAGAGGACATTCTGTTACAGTCACATCTTAAAGTGCTGAGTCATGTCCAACAAGACGGCAACGCTCTGACTGCAGTTTGATGAATGTTGATACTTAATTTTCCCCCGTCAGCCATCACCATGACTGCAAACTACGAGACACCGATGTGACATTTATCGAGCTTAGACTGTGTGGACAAAAACATGTCTGACAGAGCATTCAGAGGACGAGGGGGCTGCTGGGAATTCAAGGAGCAACAGCACGTAAAAAAGACATTAAGGGAAGCAATCTAATCATAAACGTAGTCCCAATGTCCACCGTTTTTCTGGCCACAGAGAGAACTGAAGCGTGTGTGGAGGTAGTTGTGCTGCAGAAGGCTGTGATGCAACAGGGAAAGACGGGCTACCAACTGAGCATGTGCAGTGCATCTGTGGCTGGATGCGAGGCCACGCCGACACATAAAGAGGACATTTTGGATTCAACCAAGTGAGGAGAAATTTGGGGATTAGCAGAAACCTATTCAGTTTGCTCTGTGGAGCGACAGGAAGGGTGTGAGTCTGAGTGGATTTAGGGCTTAAGACAGGAGGCTTAGGCCATGAGGTCAGGCTTAGCAAATCATCTGCATCGAGACACTACCTGCAACATCCATCGGGTCGTACCATCACATCGTATTATATCTGGCGGATGAAAGCCATGACCCAAATACAATAAAAACTAGAGGATATAACGGTAACGGTGATTGTAGATGTCTCTCTATTATTACCAGAGCTACTACAATATTCTAACAACAATCAGAGGAGGTTTTCTAGTTTGACTGCCTGTGACCGAGCGGCTAGCTTGTTACGCAACACATCAAAACACAGCACACCCGCTTCGGTATGTCCCGTTAATGATGCCAAAACAGACCTGGCAGACTTATAAGGGAATCTTGTCAAGAAAAAGGAATAAAAGGTGGTATTTACAGTAAACTGGAGCACTTAGCAAACATCCCAAACTAATGAAAAGGGGCTGCAGATTAAAGCGGTCGATTCTCAGCCGAAGCATTGACGGCAGCTGTAGCCTGTTCCACTCGCTTCCATGTCACTGGTCATTCAGGTTGCTTCATTAACATTCTCAGGACATTTCGTCGGGTCGAGCTGCTCTTTTGTTTTAGCTTTCAGAGCAGAACCGCTCGCCGGAAAACTTCAAATCACAGTCGGGCCACTAGTTAATTGGATTAATTGATCTAAACTGTCGGCAGACGTGTCAAACATTGCAGAGTTTAGATGTTTTTTAAAAATGTAATCAGACATACAGTTAGGTGAAGGGAAGCGTACTGTGGATTTATACAAGACGACATCTCTCTATCAAAGATTCAACTCAACTCATAGGTTTGCTAGAAGGACACATACTGTACGAGCTATCTGTGCTCCCAAACAGGAACCATTACAGTAACAGAGAGCTGGAGGGGCAGCGAGATATATTACAGGAGCTATTTTCACACATTCACCACCTGAGCTGATCCAGGCTGGGCCTGGAGCTGGCAGCACACTGACTTCATCATCCTAATGCACATCTTTACTAGGCTTCACTAGCTAGATAATTGGACAAGACACAAAAGAAGTATTAAACGTTGCTTCCAACACAATGTCCTTACTGCAGCATTCCACATACTGGAGAATAATTACATGATTTACGTTTTGGATACGTTCAAATAACCGGTTCACCAACGTGTAGAAGTTAAACAAGCACAAGTTGGATCTGGTTTTGCCACACTTAACCACCATCTATGAACCCATGAGGTAGATGAAAACGTGCAACCATACTGTACCTTTCTTGGTGTACAGATCGACCTCCACAGTGGGGTTGCCACGGGAGTCAAAAATCTCACGAGCGTGAATCTTGAGGATGGACATGGTTCTGGATCTGCAGATGAAGCGAGAGGGAGGAGATGTCAGTATGGTGCTGCGCCACAGGCCGAGCAGACAGACGCTTACTTACTGAATTAAAGCTTTGAGTCAACACAGTGAGTTGGTACTAATTTAAATGCTCAATGACACGCGCAGGACGAAATGTAATCTAATTTTAAGTTTAAGTTTGGAGACGGAACAATAAACCATCTGATGAATTCTCTAATTAAACATATCTGTGAGCTGATCACACCACCTGAACCAACTGATGGAGGCGGGCCAGGGCAGCGGAGATATTAGTCACAGAAAGGCGGGGCTTATGCAGCAAAAAAAAAAAAAAAGAGAAATCTCTGCAAGTCTGTTCAGGTTACTTAATCTATAAGATTACAAAACAGCATTGCAAAACCGAGTTGAGAGCACTTCTCTCAAACAGGGAGCTCCTGATAACAGTCGTGAAAGGTCAGTATACGTATAACAGCAAGTGAATGACTCGGCACAATACACATTTGGCTTATTTCTGTGTAAATTGTACTCTACTGATACGGGTTAAAGGCCTGAATAGTGGCGTAATCTCACAGAGCCTTCGTTATCTGCCCAAATTCCAGTGGTGGAGGACAGAGAAGGTTTTAGGCCAGACAGTCTGGCCATGACGCCGGCTGCGCTGTTGACTTTCATGTGTTTGCACTAACTTGCTCATCTATCTCCTCTGAACGCATGAGTGCACTTTGAGTACAGCCTCCAGAGTTAAACTAGTGTGTCTACAGCAGAATCAATGGAAAATGTGTGGAAACTTGCCAATGGCTTCAGCCAAGAGGAAAAATCAACCACACACACACACACACACACACACACACACACACACACACACACACACTTTTCTTTAGCTAAATGGAAATATTTTATAGTTCACTGGAACTGGTTAACACCGAGAGTCCGTGGTTTGAATCACTTTTTAAACCAAGTTTAGGCAGCGTATTGTGTTTAACAGGAATTTATAGAAAAACGTACATTTCTCAAAGTAAACGAGCTTTGGGCTCGTTGTTGTACAAAATAATATATTTGAAGTATTAGGATGTCTACGTCTCACTATTTTCTGACAATCTTATAGATGATTAATTGATTCAGGGAAAAAGTAAATTGTTATAACCAAGTAACCAAGTAGCATATCCACTATATTTCTGTCATAGATGTCTCACATGCACAGTAGCCTACAGTAATTTAGCTTTTTTTTTTTAAATGTTTGCTACCAGATTATTGCAAATGTGGAGAGCACGGAGTTAAACTGGCAGCACAAAATGGCACCCAAAGAAAAATAAATAATTGAGAATTGTTACCCGATATGGTTGTGCATGTAAATGTGGCTTAATCCTCATTTGGGCTACATTAGGACCTGCCAGCGAGCCATAACTGTGTGTTAACAATCAGTTTCATAATTTCTCATTAACAATACCTTTAAAGCTGCAGTAATAAACTACTAGACAATCTAACTAACTAAAGTGACTTGCTGAAAGTATCTTCTGGGAGTCTGCAAAGTAGAGAAATGACCAACCATCACATAGACACACGGAGTGTGATCTCACTACACGCAGTAATTTTCCTACAAACTGTGGACACACCCCCACGTCTGCAGCAACTGGTAGGAAGCTCACTGCCTGATCTAGCATGTGTAGCACACGACAGTCCCTCACACAGCATTACATGCATTAAGTCTCTGGGCTATAAAGACACTAGTGATTCTTTAACACACGGAGGACACTGCTGGAAGCTGGACGTGCAACTTGACGCCCTTTTTTTCCCCCCGCACACCCTGCAGCTCTAAATGGAGTGACCTCTCGCCAGCTGACGGTCTGGTTTTAAAAATAGACGGTTGGCTCCATCCTGCATGCCACAAACCTAACAACTGAGGAATTAACCGAGGTTTATAATCCACGATAACAAAGACAGTATCAGCCAAACACAAGGACGAGACTTTGAGGTTACCGTCGAGGACGAGGAACACCATGTACACGTTTAAAAAAAGAAGAAAAGTTATTTATAACAACACACACGGTCTTGGAATAGGCTCTTTAAGATGCACTAGATTTCCTACGCAAAATGGGCTGATAAAAAGGAGAAATAATGAAATTAAAGTTACCTTTTCCGGGCCTAACTGTGTGCAGGGACGGTGCTGTCTGTCTCTCTCGTGCAGGCAGGCAGAGAAGGCGCTCGTGACGCTCCGTGCTCTGTCATAAAGTGGACGGAATCAGGAAGAAGCAGGGGAACGGAGCCACGCCATTGGCTGGCACCGACTCACGAGGCAGAATAGCGCGAGTAAGGATGCACGTTCGCCATTCTGTCATCAGGACAGACTTCACAGCCCACAAGGACGACGAGGGGGATGCGGATGTTTTAAATCATCGCTTTTAATGATCACAAAACATGCAGAGAGAAAGAATGTTTTATTGGAGGTGAACTGTGGGAAGTGTAGTTTTTTTCGTGTGAGGATGAAAGAGGCAGTATGCGGAAAGATGACGCATTTTGAGTACGTGCAGAGAAGCAGGCAGGGATCTCCGATGCAGTGGTTCGTCGTTGGTCACATGTCACTTGCGGTCACGTTTTTTGGCACTGACTTTTCCTTTACCATTACGAATATTAAAAAAAGCGTTGTGTGCTTTCCTTATTAGATCAAAAGATGAAATAATCTCATGATGTGGTGATTTACAGGTCAAAAGATGTCTAGACATTCGAGTAAAAATAAACTACTAGACCTGTTTTTGTTTCAACAGCCTTTTAATAATGATACATCATGTCGTCTTTTTTACAGAACCTGTTCCATAGAATATATAGTCAACTCAATGCTGTTGAAACACTAATGATTACAGGCTATATAATCTGAAAACATTCACTTTTCAACCAAATGCATCCCAGATTCAGTTTAAATATAGAAAATATAGATATTTTGATCTGCAGATCACCAGATACTGATTCATTTGACGCTTGTGTTAAAAGACGCAGTGATCATGCACATATATATCAGTATGTGGAAGTACTAGCATTTGCAGGATTATTTACCCAATTATGTATTTCAAGAGCGAATGCACTGGTAGTGTATGTGGACATTGCAGTAATGAATCTCGACATGAGTGACTAGTGGGTTTCCCCCCAAGCATGAGTCTCATTTAAACGGGACATGGGCTTCATGCAGCTGCGCATTGCAGCGAGTGCAGCATCCGTGACAGATCAGAGCTGCTTGGGGCTTCACTGTGATGAAAGCCTTCTGCAGTGACCTTCAGACTCTGTTAAATCCAACTGCGCCACCTGCTGCCCACATGCTCTCATTAAAATGTCAACAAGTGCCTCAAGTGCCTCCACAAGACGTGCAAGTTTGGATTCATATAAGGAAATAAGGATATACGGATAACCAGTGCCCCCCTAATAAGATGTAGTTTTATTCAAACCATCAACTAAAAGTTACAATAGAACATGATAAAACATTACAAGTAAAAGTCCTGCATTGAAAATCAAAGTACAAAGGTATTAGCATCAAAATGTACTTAGTATCAAAAGTAAAAGTGCTCATTATGCAGAATGATCCCCTTTTGGTGTTCTATTATTGTACAACCGGATCATTGTTAGTGAGGTATTAATAAGTGAGCAGTATTGTGATTGAAATTGGTTGAGGTAGAGCACATTTAACTACAACAACTTCATATACCGTTGTTTAATCTAAAATAATGCATCATAGTTTGTAAACCGATCATATGTTTTGTATAAAAGTGTTAAATCTTTTGTAATTCCAGTCATCAGATGAATATAGTTCCGTAAAGAATACAATAATGATATTTTGTAGACTGATTTAATGATGATCAATTAATGAGTGAAACAATTTAACTGATTGTAAAAACATTTTTTAGAAATGGCCTTCTTTTTCCCCAGCAGACATTATGACTTGTCATAGTCGGAAAAGCACAGGTGTTACTAATAACATTGCTGCTCGATATTCAGGTGTCCCAGCAAGCCGTGACAGTGTGACAGTGAGCCAGTATGCACAATACCAGGACCCTGAAACTGAAGCAGCTAAATGGAATTCAGCCATCATTGAGTTTATTGTTTCCACCTGTGGCCTATGCTTAAATAAAAATGTGCCAGTGCTCTAAAAACCTGCATATCATACACATGCAGCATGCGTGCATCAATTGTAAGCAAGAATTATTTATTTATGCATGCTATAACCCTTATTACTCTTCCCATGTCTCCTGGCTTTCTCTACTGGCTGTCAAATAAGCAAAATGCCAAAAAAAGAAAGACAGACCCATCAGACGGTATTAATGACATACGAACCTTTCTTAGAAAGTGTTGCTAAAATATTTTTGGGAAAACGAGATCCCGAACACCTGCCCTGTGATGCATCCTGGGAACATTTAAAGTGTTGCGATGAGAGAAGACCTCTACTTTACTTGCAGCAAGTAATAACATTGTTAAATTGGCTTAATGTAAACCATTCAAAACAGGAACAGTGGCTGGAAATTGTCCAAGACATCTTTGTTATGGAAAAGTTGACATAACTTCTGAGAGTCAAGGGGAATACATTTAATAAGAACTGGAAGAAATGGAACTTGAATATGAGATGTGACACCGACCAAATGAATACCTAATTATAATATATTTGTATGAATATAGAAGTGTTTCCAGACAATTAATTACTGTTATTTTAATTTAATTTTATACATATTTATATTTGTATTGTACTTTGCATAACCGACTGTATTTTCTGTATAGATGTTGTGCTGTTCTGTTTATGCCTTTGTAAAAACCCAATAAAAACCTGAGTGAACAAAAGAAATAAAGTGAGAAACAGAGACTTAGACAAGAAGATTAATTACCACTCTGTTGTTAGCCAGGAGACGGCTATCTTAGCTTAGCACAAAGACTGGACACAGGGGGAAACAGTTAGCCTGGCTCTGCCCAAAGGAAACAAACTCCAGCTAACAGCACCTCTAACACTCACGAATCAACATGTTATAAGATGTCTGTTTAATCCGTACAAAGCCTGAAGTAAAAAAATGCCCTTTGCCGTTTTATTTGGTAAAATGTTCTACACATGTTTCCCAGAATGTCACACATTACGTCACTGAATTTGCCTCCGGCCTGTCATCTGGTGGTATCTGGAGTTTCTGCCACCCTGTGTGAAAGGCTATTTGTGGTCCTATCGTACCATCAACTTGTGAAATGGTTGCCGGCAGCAGCACTGATACTCTGCTAATCTGTTGGTCAACATTGGAAAGCTGCACCAGGATGTGAGGAAGCATAACACACTTGCTGATCTGTAGCATGTAGCTGTCAGTCAATTTAAAGTTTTTTTTCCCCATAACCGATGACACCACCCCTTTTTCTGGTGCCAGGCATTCTGGTTGGAGGGAAAGAAGCCGAGCCAGAGTGAACGCTGTGTTTGCTGATTTGCTTGGCTCACTTTGCTGCATATTTGGCCGAACATGAGCTCCTTCATCTATGCCCTCTGGCTCCAACAAATCCTCAGCTCAGGAGTCTACACCTGCTGTGATATTGTCAGAAAATATGACATGCACACATTTCCACTGACTATGTGCAAGTCAATTATATGGTTGTATAATATTTAGACCATTCACATAAGCCTGCAACCTTTATTCTTCAGAGAATTAGACATTATGTCCTTTTAAAAATGTCATTGCGACTATGCAGCTGCATTAAATGTGAGACTAATTTGCTCCAGTGGAGCTTCTCAGTGACTCAGTGCTTGTACTGGGCAGCCTCCAGCTGTGAATCTGTGCAAACTGAGCGAGCAGGACGTTCCTGGAAAGAGACTTCACGCTCAATTGGCCATGCTTAAAACAAGGTAACTAAAGACCAATTCTATTCTGTCCATTCTATACTGTTCAAGTCCTGATCCAGACGGCTCAACCACCAGCCACTTTTAACAAATCCATGTGTTTAAAAAAAACAAAAAAACTGCCCCAGTTGTCTGAGTTAGCATGATTTCATAGGTGATAGTTAATGTCTGCAAAGAAACTGCAAGACAATTCTTAATATTGCTACAGACAGAAGAAAAATTACAAAGTTAATCGTTTATCACTTAAATCAAGCGATATTTGCTGCGCACAGTTTCAGATGCACCTTTAAAGCCGTGTGACTGTCACACACAAAAGAACGCATGTCTCTTTATTCAAGCACAGTTTGCATCTTGCTGATGCGAGGACCCCTCCCTTCTAGGGGTCTGTGTCCTGTTGTCTCTTTTCTGTCGATCAGGATGTTGGTCGTCAGCTGATGAGCCACACCTGAGCCCGGTGTGGTTCCAGCTTTAAAGTCTCTCTACCTGAACATTGACGGGCTCTTCCTTGGCTGACACGGCTGCTGTTTTGTTTAGTTTGTTTCAGACATTCCCACACATTCACACATGCCCACATTGCTGTTAACCGAAAATTAAAAAGATACTGACGTCTTGCAGATTAAATAAATGAGCACAGCCAACATTTACTTTGAGCTAGCAGCTAACGGTTGGTAGCTCATACATATTTTCTTTCGATGTGATATTTATTGTGTTCCTTGATTTAATGGTTTCTGTTCTGTTGATCTTTTCTTTAAAATACTCTCACTGATTTCATCATCACAGTCGACAAGGTTTCCTCCCATCTCACTCAACAAACTGTGACTTCTTCTCATGATTAATGAGTAACTACCTTGAGTCATACGATGTGAATTAGATTGTTAACAGTATTGCCATCACACATCATCAAACAGTAGCTTATTAAGTAATGGGTTCTTGTTTTCTTTCAGTGTAATAAATTCTCATGTGACTCTCAAAAATGCACGAGGCCACTTTAAAGGTCAAATTCAGGATCCCTGTGATGAGGCGTCGCATCTACTGAAGAGAGTTTGAGCACTCACCTGTTGTAAATTTGATCCCGTACTTGAGCAATACAAAGATAAATCAAGTTTTATTATCTTTCTTTTGTTTTGTTTGTTCCTTAAATAGTTTTGTCCCCTTTTTTCACCAAGACCAGCACGGGATACTGTACATACTACCTGCAGCAGAATGATATATGTCAAGCTCACCACATGTGGGCTTTAAATTACATACGCTTTCTCTTAATCAGCACCATCGCACCATTTAAGCCACCAAGACTTTAAAAGCTGTTATTGTCCTCAATGCAAAGATAAACCTAGTGATTTACTGAGCAAGAGGACAGCTTCAGTTCATTTCTAAGTGCTGGTGTATGCAAGTTGAGCGCCGAGGGGCATCAAACATGTTGCTTCTTAATGATGTCAGACGTTGTGTGAGGGGAAAACGCTCTCCTGTCTTCTGTTTCCTCCATCTGGGCTTGTTTAAAATAGTTTTTTATTCAGCCTGTATGTGTTGATAGACAAACAGGAAAACAACTGGCATCAATCAAATGCAGGTCGCCAAGAGGCCGTAACTCCAGTCCAGAGAGGAGGGACGCGAGAGGAACAATGAGGGTCTTAAAGCAAGGTGAGTGCTTTGATCATTTGTAACTCAATCAGTTCTTTGCACACACGCAGACAAAAACACTCACACTCAGGGGAGATTTGTATTACCACATTTAGGAGGACTCTCCTTGACTAAATGTTTCAAAACTAATTTAACCTTGGACTTTATTTTAGTGCACAGACCAAGTTCACCATTTTGGGAAATACCTTTATTCGCGTTCCTGCTGAAAGTTAGATGAGAAACAGGGGAAACAGCTAGCCTGGCTCTGTCCAAAGGTAGTTCCCGTGCTGCTCGGCCAAGAAGAAGTTCAACGCATACCACCAACTTCCGGTCTTAATGCTAAACTAAGCTAACCGGCTGCTGGCTGAAGCCTTATATTTAACAGACAGATACAAGACTGGTATCGAGATTACACCTCTGTAGACAAAAAAAACCGCTTTCAGTTTCTCTTGCGCACCTCAGAGAACAGCTCTGGCATGTAAGGTGGAGGTGTTGGACATGTTGCAACTTGTGTGCATGAACATGGTAGCACGTAATAGGACATTGTGATGTCACAATATCCTATTACGTGCTACCATCAGCTCTCCTGTTTTTTTTTTATCAGAAGCCATCATGGCTTTTTCAGAATGACTTGCAGCTTTAAGTAAAATGAAGATATTAAACAATGTTACATGCTGAGGGGTGATGTTCCACAATACGGCAACAAGATAGACCAAAGTCAAGTATGAGCCTCACCTTTGTCCTCAAAGACAGAAGTAATTGATTTATTTGGGGTATTAATGTTAATACCTGCAGTTCAACTCTGTGATATGAGTAGAATAAGCATGCAGACAATCAACAGTTGTTTCACACTGAGAAATAACATTTCAACTGAGGCCTCTATTATTAACATACAGATGAGACAGTCCTTTCCTGTCCCTTTCGGGCTGCTGGGCAGGGCTCTGGGCGTTCTCAGCAGAGATTTCAACACCTCCCTCCTTCCGCAGTTTATCTAGAGAGAAACCCTCTGTGAGCTGTCAGAGTCCGGTGTGAAGGATCAGAGGCGCAGCGATGGAGTTCTTCTCTGTGTTTGTTTCTGCTGTTTTGGTCTGTGCCGTCAGTGCTGGGATTCCTCATGACGGAATACACTGGACGTACACAGGTAAGCTTTTCTTTATTTTAATATGAAAATGTTGGAATTTCATTTTCTTTTTTTTATTAAATTTGTTGCACCTAAACACAAACAGTAGCAGAGTTATATTAGATTCACAGGTGTTTGCTGCATATAAAAGGTGCATGACAACCTGTCCTGTGAGTATATATTTTGGTAAGAGAGGCTGCCAAGTTATTTCTATTCAACATTCACTTGAGGAACTTGGCCATTATGTTTTCTGGGTGATGCGTGCTGAATTGCCAAATACCTTTTAATCACTGTCAGGTTACATAAAGGCAAATGATTAGGTGTATACAGCGTGGCACTAGGCTACTAAATAATTGGGGAGTGAATACTGGGAACTACACAAAATATCCAGTTGAACATGTCCTGTGCGTGCTAATAAAAGCAACAACATGGGAACAGGTTTGACACTCACTAACAAGGGGAAATATAGTTTGGCAGCTCTCTCCCTAAATTCATCTACCCCTGGGTGATTTGAATGATGTGAAAATAGTTTTTCGGGGATGGGTTTTCTTCACACAGAGGGAGCCTTGGACCAGATGCACTGGCCAACCAAGTACCCTTCATGTGGCGGTAAGAAGCAGTCCCCAATAGACATCCAGCGGCGCAACGTGAAACACAACCCAGACATGCTGCAGCTGGAGCTCAACGGATACGATGCTCAGAGTGGGAATTTTCTCATGTCCAATAACGGGCACTCCGGTAAGAGAAAATGTATAGATGACCCAACCTCAATATTAGCTACGACTAATATTAACTAAAGGACCACAATGGAAATAAGCTCTTGAGCCTTGTTGTGTTTTATCCTTTTGACAAATATTGTAGAAAGATACGACGCCTCCTGGTGAGACTTCTATATGTCTTTACTTCACTGTTAGAGGACCAGACCACTGTTTCTGCTTAATGTCAAGAAATTATATTTTGATTAATTTCTTGTAAAACTGAATTAGCACATTATCGAATCTTTCTCAAATTGTGTGATCCATTACAGTGAACCTAAAGTCTACACATTTTTCCTCATGCAGACCAATATTGCTGCATGGTGTTAATTTGATCTGAAAAGTCTTCACGGAATTAACTTTTATTACGAAGTAAAACAAGTTTGACGAAAATTGAAGCAGACTTTTCACTGTGGTGCATTACAGAACTCAAACAAACCCAATGACCGCTCGGAAGGAAGGAAATACATTTAAAAATGTGAAACACTATAGCAGTTATGTACAGTATTCGTGATTTGTAAGCTGCCTCTTTTTTTGTTTTTGATTAAAGAACCTACATAATCTGAATGTCTTTATGTCTCCATCAGTTCAAATTGACCTGCCTCCCACTATGGCGATCACTAAGGGCCTCCCAGGAAAATACACAGCTGTCCAGATGCACCTGCACTGGGGCGGCTGGGACCTGGAGGCCAGCGGAGCAGAGCACACCATTGACGGCATCCGTTACATGGCAGAGGTTGGCTTGAAGAAAGTTTAAAAATGAAAGTTTGACTTGATAGACAAAAACAGGGCAGAAACTGACTATGCTACACACGCTGGTGCACCACTACAGCGATGACAAACCTTTAATCAACAAACATCTTCAGTTTATCAAACAGTTTATACACAGACCTAAACATGGAAACTGAATTTGTACAGAAATGATGACACTGCCTCAGTTAACCAGTCTGTAGAACAATTTATTATCATCTAAGTATGTAATTCTCTGACGAAGCTAATTAAATTAACAGAGATTGTCTTAATTGTCTTTCAGCTCCATGTTGTCCACTACAATTCTGACAAGTACAAGAGCATTACCGAAGCCAAAGATAAGACAGACGGGCTGGCAGTACTCGCCTTTTTCTATGATGTACGTAAGCCACAAATACTTTTGTTCCCTGTCCTCTATGATTTGCTTTGTCCGACCACAAATGTTGTCAGCATATATACAGTATGCCCCCACTACTTCTGATAAATGATCTTCAGTTAGGAAGCTTACAAAAAAAGTATTTTTTAGTGAAAAATGATAATGCCCTTTGAAGTGTATGACACGTTGCTTCAGTCATCCTGCTGGATTAAAGGCTCTATTCAGTGTTAATTTACACGCCGACATGTTGAATGAGTTTCAACATGTCGGCATGAGCTTGTTTCCAGAGGAATGCTCCGGGTCTCCGACAGTCGGCGGCCTTTCAGCTGCGAGAGGTCGTCGCTGCAGCAACACCGCCGCTGGCATCCCCCGTGATAGCAGCACAGAGTGGCTGAGACTTGGTGCTATTTGGACAAACTCATTTGGCAACAAATGATTCAGATTCACTGACATTTGAAGTTTGAGGTTTGAAGGAGGATTCCAGTTAATTACAAATAAGAACGTGACTCAAAAGAAGTCCAATGGGACAACAAAGCAGCAGCGGTCAGATGATGAGATGGGATGTAATGCATTATTAACGAGGCGCACATTATAAACATCCACCACAGTTTACAGACCGACATACTGGTTCAACTTTGACCTTTCTGCAATGAGGGATTATTATGGACATTTTATGGGCAAAATGTAAGTATTTTAGATAATTTGACGAAACTTTTTGCCTCATTTACAACCTGTCCGATGTTTCTTGCCCTTTCCGACTTGTGTGATGTTGCTGCTTTCCCAGATTTTACAAATTACTTTTGTGAATACAACATCATCAAACTACATAGATAGATACAATGGCCAAACCAACGGAAAGAACAAGGCTCAAGTTATGAGAAACCAGGACAATCATTCCTCCTTACTATGCCTCATGCTTACACACACACACACATATCTGTGTCTTCTGTTTTAACTGAACATTTAAGCTTCAGCTTTGGTTTACTTTCAGGACGGGCATTTTGAGAACACCTACTACAGTGATTTCATCTCCAATCTGGCCAAAATAAAATATGCAGGTGAGTTACTGCACACATGAATTCACCGACCTTAGTGCTTGAGGTCTAACGTGATTTTAATGTGATCCTGTCAGGTCAGTCCATGAACATATCGAGCATTAATGTGCGCTCCATGCTCCCCGAGAACATCAACCATTTCTTCAGATACCAGGGCTCCCTCACCACGCCGCCCTGCTTTGAGAGCATCCTCTGGACTGTGTTTGATACTCCCATCACTCTCTCACATAACCAGGTACAGCACACAGGACATTTTGAAAAAAATGAGGTTTGTATTATTCCAGCTGACAAAAAAAAGATAAAAACTTTCAACTATTTTGTCTTATATGGAACTGGACTTTCGCATTTGAAGGCAATGTTTCTTATTTTGAACATTATGTGGTGCAATGTGAAAGCTTTCTCTTCTTCTCTGTTGTGTTCAGATCAGGAAACTGGAGAGTACTCTGATGGACATAGACAACAAGACACTGTGGAACGACTACCGCATTGCTCAGCCTCTCAACCGCCGTGTGGTGGAGTCTTCTTTCCTCCCTAGGCTCGGGAAAGGAAGTATGTAGCTTGTTGCAGCTGTGTCATTACACAATAGGGTGTATTCCTCAGAATTGACTTGGGCAAGACTAAGCCCCGAGTCAGATCCTCTTCATTTTTTATTCACCTCTTTCTTTTCAGCATTTTGTCGGCAAGATGAGATTGAATCCCGGCTCTTTAAGATCGAGGGTCTGATAACGTCTCTTGGAAAGCATATTCATTCAGGTGAGTCGTAAAAAAAATGATAAAGATGGCTGGATGTAAATGAAAGTGCCTATACTTACTCTCTTTCTTACTTATGCCCTTAAGGTGGACTTCGTAACTCAAGGCCTACCAAATATGGTGAGTCCCTCGGTTTGAATTTCATTTGATATCCAACTGTGATTTGTGACTGTGGATGATTAAAGGTCGATGTCTGATTCTATTTTTTTCTGTGTTCATCAGAACCTCGCGCTCTGTATCCTCTGGTGCTCAACTTCCAGGAGAAAAACTCTGGAAGTTATGCTCTGGCCTGGCTCAGCCATCCCATGAAGCTGGACTCCTTCACTGTCTGCATGCATGTCCTGCCTCCGCACGAGGGGATCCACACCGTCATCTCCTACGCCAGTAACGACAACGACAACGAGCTGATGATCTCCGTCGGTGAGGACAGGGATTCGAGAGAGGTGGGCCTCTGGATTGGCAACGAGTTCGTCAACCTGCCGCACAACGTCAAGTCCCACGACTGGGCCAACTACTGCATCACCTGGTCGTCCCACACCGGCGGCGCGGAGCTGTGGATCAATGGCATGGTGGGGGAGCAGCGGTATCTGAAAAGCGGTTACACAATCAGCCCTGGCGGTGTGTTCATCGTGGGCAAAGATCAGGATGGATTACTGGGCATCTCCAACGCAGATGCCTTTGTGGGTAAGATGACTGATGTCAATGTGTGGGACTACGTGCTGTCCACAGCAGATATCCGCGACCAGATGTCATGCGAGAGAAACAAGACCGTGGTGGGAAATGTGTTTAGCTGGGGAACAACCAAACTCAGTCTGTTCGGTGGGGTGCAGCTGGACAGCGAGTACAGATGCTCCTGAATAGACTGCTTCTGTTCGCATGAGCTTTAAAATGCTGTAATAAACCAGCATATCACTGCTGATGATGGTGGATTTAAAATGTGTTTGATGAAGGATACAAAATGTTTTTCATGCACCTGTAAAATATTGAATGCAAACTGTATCTTTTAGCTTCAGCCATGTATTGTATTCATATTTTTGCAGCATCAATAAAGACTTACAAGTGAATTGTTGGTTTGTTTAATGACGCAAGGACCTATTCAGCCAGTACATACATCAAGTTTCACAATATTTAAGATCTTATAGCCACACAAACGAACAATACACAAAGCGATTATGTAAAGATTCCTTGTGAAATAGAAAATAGAGGCTAAATTTAGACATTTCCAGTCCATTACAATCCTCCCCAGAGTGAAGACTTCCTCTCCTCTGAATGCTCTCATTATTCTTCAGAAGGCCGTGACCCTCACTGCATCCTCCAGGCTTTCTTTGCTCTCTTTTAGTGGCAGATCCACATCACCCAGTTTGATCTCTACTTTGTTTCTCTTGGCGAACATCTGGCATATCTCCAGGAAGGTTTTGTTCTTGGTCTCAGGGACCACCAGCCAGATGTAGATCAGCGTGACCAGACAGATGAAAGAAAAAATGATAAAGCTGTAGGAGCCCAGACCTCTCTGGGGGGAGGAGGGAGAGGAAATGTGATCAGTTTGTCCTCAAGATGAAATGGTGTAAATATTGTTTGCCAGAAACAGTTGGTTGGACATAAACAGGTGAGGGGAAGTATGATTTGCACGCTACTTTTGTTGGAATGCTGTTTTTTTGGTTTCTGTTACTCAAACAAATTCCTTCCTTGTTTGTGTTGTGGCTTGAAGATGAAGTCTTGATATGAAGTAAACATGCCGCAAAATGGTTGTGTTTATCCCTAAGACACGCTGACGAGAGTGCTCCTAATAAACAGGGATGAATGCTACTTCTGCTAAAAGAACTTCACACATGAGTATTGGACCATGACTGGCCTGTCAAAAAGCTGTGAAGTCACAAAATCATACATCCAAATACGGATTGTAAAAATCCTATTGTTTGTTGAGATGCATTTTGAATGAAGTATGATTAGGTTTTCGTTATGAAAAGCATTTGTTTGGATATGAGACTTGGATTGGTTGTCGGCCCCTCTCCCTCCCACTTAAACTGCTTTTGTTGACAAAATGACTTCTATTGCATTGCCTATTCAGTAATTTCTATTACCATTTTCAAGGAATGGTTCGACAATATGACAATGTCCATTAAATATAGGGAACAGCCAGCACACAATTAGATTAGCTTAGCATAGACACAGAGGATACAGCTAGCCTGGCCTTGTACAAAGGGAACAAAATTGGCCAATTTGCACAATAAAACTCAGCAATAAACATGTAATATCTCTTTTGTTTAATACTTAAATGTAAATATTACAATTCATGGTTATTAGTTAGGCTATTTTGTGGCCGAGAGCAGTGTGCCCAGCGGTGTAAGGTAGTTACGACGGGCCCAAGCTCACACTAGTAGCTATAGCAGGCCCTAGTAACTTACTGCCTCTTCTACTGTTTGAAAGGCATGACTGATCGCTCGGCTTGCAGATGAGCTCAGCTTGTTAGGCTTGACATATTTTGTACCTGGACTAGCTACCATATATGGTATCGTTTTGTCACATGATCAAATAGAAACTTGACTGAAGACAACATCCTCGTACAAATTACCCAACGCATATCAATGGATATATGTGTATGACAAAAATACTTAAAGGAATTTATAAAAATATCCATGTAATGCATTCGTTTTTAATAGTTTATTAATAGGTTTTTTTTAAAGTTAAGGTAGAATAAGCGTATTGTTTTGTTAAAGATTACTACTGACAATTTTACAAAACAGAAAAGAAAACCGTGATGTAGCCTTTTTGAGGGCAAATATAGTAAATGGCATAAGTGCTTCTTTGAAACGAGGTGTAATCCTAAACTATACTTCTCTCTAGGTCCTATTCTCTGCCCATTACAACGCTGGAGGTCTTGTTTTCTCTTTTATTGGGTTAAATTAAAAGTCTGCAAATCGTAAGACAGACATACAGTACATGCAGAAGTAACTCAAAATAAAGTAGAAATGATCATGTCAAGATGTGACTTGAATTGCCTCGCTGTTTACACTTAAAAAACATCTGTAGCTAATTACATTTCAAAATAATAATCTTTCATTCCCCCAATGTAAGCGATCTTAGAAACTGTGTAACTGACCTCTAGGAAGGGGAAGACGAGGCCAACAGTGAAGTTGGAGAGCCAGTGGACGGAGCCTGCGACCATGAAGGCAGCGGGCCTGGCCGACTGCCTGAACATCTCAGTGGTCACCACATAAGGAATGGGACCTGTGGAGCACAGATGTGGTTAACCACAACCAAAACACTCAAGACACAGCATTACTCTTCAGGGTCACAGTGAGGATGCTCATGTCTCAGACACCCGAGTGCAGGTTTACAACATATATCATTACATGTCTGGGCACATCCAAACAACACTTCAGCTAATGGAGCACCCTGTTCAGTGTGGGTGTAAATAACCACTGGCGGGGACAGACTCACTGGGTCCTATGGCGTGTCCTATGACGTAGATGATGACACAGGTGATGCTGATGTAGGGCATCCACGACATGCTCTCCTGTCAACATAAAACAACAGCTGCTGTTATCATTAACCTGACATGCTGATGCTTTCAAACGGTAACAAACACGTAACAAAATCTCCGTAATGGCTGCACTGTGTGGGAAGATTGAAACTCCCTGTGCTGTTGAAAGTGCTGTCTGTCTGAAGATGTTGGATCCAGGTGAGATTACAGGGTTACAGGGGGGCAGCCCTGATATTGTGGTTGTCTAATGGCCAGTGTTTTCTCATAATTTAGTGGTGGGCGACTCTGTTTTTAAGTCTCAAAGTTCTCATAACCCCAGCAAATACAGATGTCAAGTCATCACATTTATTTTTCAGACCAAGCACAAAATGTATAACATTAAAATTACCGTCCAATGAAAATTGTAGTACAGTGACGCATTTCCAGTCGTTTTGGCTTCGTAAACCAGCACAGCGGACCACAAGGTTAAAGTGCTTACTTTCAGCTTTAAAGCGCTGGTTCATCACGACAGCTTTTTTTTTTTTTTTTTTGTCACTTCTAATGCCATTCTATCAACCACTACTGTTTTGTGTACCTCTCAGGTTTTCTGTCACCATCACCAGATCTCCACACACACATGCACATCTGCTCCCAATTTCTCCATCAGCTCCCCAGTATACACACCGTCCTCCTATGCCACGTTCATGCTGTATCGAAGTTGTCATAGTTATAGGTTTCCAAATTGTAAATAATGTTGAGGTCAACATCCAAGTGTTAATTACGGCTAGGAAACTTAGAAACTATACAGTTTGGCACAAAATTAACCAAACAAATATTGACGCCTCACATCAGCTAAAGTCCAGCAATAAACGTTACTTAAACACAAATTAAATGGATATGATGTTATAAGGTTAAAGAGACAGTAAGGAATTGGGGCCCGTCATAACTACCATACGCCACTGGGCACTGCTGCTGATCACAAAATAGTCTAACTCATAAACACAAGTTGTCATTTTTCTATTCTATTAAACAAAAGAGACATTACGTTAATTGCTGAGCCAATTTTATTACCTTTGTACAGCACTAGGCCAGCTGTTTCTCCTTTATTCTAACCTAAGCTAACTGCGTGTTGATATCTACAGCACTTCAATTTTGTTTCGATTTTTCTACTTCTAATTCCTACTTGAATTAAGGGTAAACTAGTGCAGTGCCCGTTCTGAGCGGGCCAATTGCCACGCCCCCGGGAGTGCTGCTTGCAGTCGTTTTGTCCAGGGAATTGAAGAAGATTTCGGTTGTAACATTAGTTCATCCAGCAGCAAAAGTGAAATGACTGCTGCAAATGACATGCTTGACTTTGGCTAAGCCCTGAAGCCCCGCCCCCGTTTTTTTATTCAACATTTATTAATAGTCAACGTATAACGTGTCCAAATTGCACCTAATTCAACACGGCACTCCTTTGGGTCCACAACAATACAAATGCCAAAAGTGAAATAGATTGGATAAATGGTTCTTCTTGAGATATGCAAAGGACTTACACACACACACACACACACACACACACACACACACACACACACACAGACAGACAGACAGACAGACAGACAGACAGACAGAGATTTCTTGCTTTGTAGTTAGATGTCTGCACTTTCATCTCATTGTCGTCGTTTCAAATACAATGTGAGCCACAGCAACAAAGAATGTGTCAGCTGTCTCAAAAATCTTCCATGAATCCATCTCCATAACAAATCTCCTGACCTTCAGGTTGAGACACCCTTGACATAAAACAGCAGATTTCTTTAATATGCTGAACCACTAGAGGACAGCAGAGTGACATGTTTGAGACACACTAAAGCTTTCACATGGTACCTGGAAGGTGAGTGCGACAGTGAGCAGCACACAGGCTACACAGCAGATCCCAAACCCACAGAGGAGCAGCAGCCGGCGTCCCGAGGCCTCCACAATGAAGACCTGGTGAAACAAACTCCCTGTTCAGAGCTATCGTCTCCAACTGACATGATCAAACAACAGACTGTTGATATCGACAGGGTACCTACAGCAGCTATGGTCATGAAGACATTCACTGCACCCGTTCCCACCGTGACGTACTGGATATCATTCTGCTTGACTCCTGCAGTGGCATATATGCTATCTGCATAGTAATAGATCTGACGAGGGAGAGAGACGCGTCATGACTAAATATATAGCCAAGAGTTGGAGAACAGAGTTAAAACACAAGAAGGAGGCCAGGCTCACCGCGTTGACCCCCGACAGCTGCTGGCCCATGTTCATGACGATGATGGAGACCAGCTGCCAGCGGAGGGAGCGCTGGGACAGCAGGCTGAGCACCGACAGGTGTCCCTCGGCCCTCTCCGACTGGTCCTCCAGACGCATCTCGGAAAGCTCTGCATCCACGTCTTCGCTGCCACGCAGACGCTGTAACGCCTTCTTTGCCGTCTTCTCGTCTCCTCTCTGGATGAGCATGTACCTGGGGCTCTCTGGGAAGAAGGGCAGCAGCAGGAGCTCTATCAGGGCAGGGATGCCGGTTATACCCAGCATGAGGGTCCAACCTGGAGACAGAGGGCACAGTCCTGAGTCCCCCCAAATCAGCTGTCAAGGATTGTGATGAATGAAGGCCAATCATGTACCTGTGCTGTTGCCCAATATGTTTCTGATGCCCAGCACTTGTGCACTGAGGATGCCAATGGTGATGAAGAGCTGTGGGATGATGCCAAGGGCTCCCCTCAGGTTTTTGGGAGCGAGTTCTCCCAGATACATGGGAACCACGTTTGATGAGAGACCTGCAGACAGGGAAGTTAAGATACATGAGAATGACTTGTGGTACGTATGAATCCTGATGGCTTGAACAGTACATCATATCTGACCTGCACAGATGCCCACTATAAACCTAGCCACGATGATGATCTCATAGGACTTGGCAATCTCACTGACTCCCATCATCACAGCAGGGGCGATGGAGAAGATGTTGTTGAAGAGGAGGGTGCCCTTCCTGTCATAGGGTTGATGCAGTCAAAGTCATGTCAGACCAACCAAGTATACACCTCTTATAGTGCATGATACACGTGACATGTTACCTCCCTAGTTTGTTGACCAGAGGGGCCACCATCAGGGAGCCAAAGAAGCCTCCTAGCGGGTACATGGACACAGAGAGAGACCACAGCAGAGTTAGGAGGTTCTCCTTCATCGGCCTGCCGTAACGCTCCAGGTAGGTGGCGTTATAGAACTGCTGCATGAACTGAAGAGAGCAGGACAATACTGATTGAAGCACATCAACATGTGAATGACACTGGCCTCTATAGCATGTAAAGCTTGTGTGTCTTTGCTTGGGTTACCGGTGACGGAGAGTTGATGACGGCCACATTATAACCATACTGGAACGATGAACCAAATGCAGATATGAGCGTTGCCAACACCAGCACCACAGTTAATCTCTGTTGGGGGGACATCAGCGCACTATGTGAAGCCTCTTTTTACAACACAAACATCATCCATCACGCGCCACATTTTCAGACAAAACAAACGGCGATGTGAAGGTAGTGGTAATCACACCTGTGTGTGTCACTCACCCCTCTCCTCTCCACAGGCTTTCCCGACTCCTCATTCTCCACCATGGTTGTGTTTGGACTCAATAATAAGAGCACACTTTGTTATTACGGCACCACTGCATGCCGTCTGCCCTTTGGACACCAGATCAGACAGCGTAGCAGCTGTTTACGGCTTGGCTACAGTTATCGTTTTCACGTTGCAGACTGTGCCCTCAGGTTCAGGAAGTTTTGTATTCAATACAGTCAAGGTATTTAATCCTGCCCTGGGCTGAATGCTAGTATCTGATGCTTGTATTGCACTGCACCCTCAACTAAATTGGTTCAATTGATGACATCCAGCTGTCGTTTTGGAGTTATGTTATCATCAAAATGATAAAGACATGCCGACCTGCAGGCTGGATTACAGGAAAGATGTTATGACAGAATGACGACACAATGCTGAAATCACAAACAGATAGACTTGATCCTTGTACAATTTGAGGGATTTATCCTTTCTCGCTCTGAAGACAGCTCATCTAACACCGATTACAACAACACCACACCTGACAATCTCTTTCTATGTTTACTTTGTCTTCAACTCGTCGTGTGCTGCAATGCCTCTTATCTCTGAAGCTGAGTGTGTTTGTCATTACGACGGCCCTGAGGCTGTTTGCTCTTAAAGCTGGATGTTCTTTGCTTCAGGGAAGCCTCATTGCAAAAACAAGGCTAATAAAATGTGTCTGTGAGTAAATAATGATGGTGGGAAACAGGAATAATTAGAGGTTAGAACTACGTATGCAGAGAGCAAAATCTGACGAGGATGAAGTGTTAAGTGAAGCAGGATGAGCTGTGAGACTTTAAATTAAACAACAGAGTGGTTTAATTTCTTTTTACATATAATATATATAATACTTGGAAGACCCAACAGACTTTTCTGCATGTAAATTGTGCTTATAACAGCTCGTTAACAGAGAGGTCTACCAGCAACATGGCAAAGAATAGTTATCATATCCTGTTCTTTTATACCACAGTATTGGGCCAAGTTGATTATTGAAGTGGTTGCAATTTAACGGTTAACGGTTGGGGGCGCTAATGATTGGTTGCAGAAGAAGAAGAAAGACATGTCATATGTAAGGTGCAAAGTTTACTTCCACTGTGTCACTTTAATATCGTACAGCTGAATTATTCACCCACTGATACCAACCGGTAACCTCTGGCTTTGTGTATGTAGAGTTTCTGAGGTTTTCTATGACATGTGTGAACATTGTTTGTCATTTCTAATCTAAATACACGGTTGCAGCTCTGAATTATTGCCCATTACCTTTGGTGGACAGTGTGTTTGAGAATTGGCTCTACGAACCACTAACGCAGCCAAATGAACAGCATGGGATGTGAAAAAAAATGACTTCCATTATGTTGACTGGTGAATGGTCACCCCATGCAGTGTAGGACGGCCCTCTGGTACTCTTTAACTTAATGAATTAAGTGGGCAGAGAGCCAGCGGGGGAGAGAGCATAAATCCCTTTCCTTAAGTGTTTACACCAGCTCCAGTTACTTCAATGTCAGCCAAATCTCACAACCGACACAATGGATTAATTCCTGCAGGAAATACAGTAAGCGTCGATCGTCTGCGGTCCTCAAGGACGAAAAAACATTTCACCGGCAGTTTTAGATGTCATCAGCATAAACAGCATTCACTTCCTCCCATTTTCCCAGACCTGGTATCCAGTGCTCTGTCAGTGTTACTGATGGTCCTGAGAGGACGACCTCTGCACTGTTTCACATAACTTTAGACCACCCATAGAATTAGATTGAAGGAAAACTCCTTTTCTCAAAAACAACTGTGTATTTTTGTTTTTAATATATTTCTAGTACAAACGGCATAATGTCTCCATGTTCTGGAAATAATGTGTGAGAACTAACTGCCCTCAGACGAGCACAGTGTTGTTTTAGTGTCATGAAAAGTCTGCCTGACCTGATGTAAAGGCTTATTATAACAAAATCACCCACTTCTGCATTGCCTAATCCGTCAAACAGGCCAACAGAGACCATGCAAGATATATTAATCCAGTTTCTGCGATGCCACCTTCACAAACCGAACAAGGGCTCGCCCTCTGCGAGAGTCAAACAAACAATAATCCCTTGAGGATAAAAGAAAATTGGCTGTCAACAACGTGGAATTTCTCCCTCCAATCCCCAGAGTATAAATCTAATTTCAATGTAGCTCATCATCTCTGAGACAGGCTCATTAAAACTCAATGGATTTTAAACAATATTTCAAAGGGCTGAAGGAACCATGGGAAGTGGCACTGTGGTTGAGAGCCAAGTCGGTCCCATGAGCCCCGTGGGGTTCCCACCCTGGTTGGTATGCGTTCGGCCTGTTGCTCAGTTGGGGAAACGGGAGCCAACAACAGCAGGGGTGAAAGGAGAAGTGAGGCTCACAAGGAAGGCTTAGGTTTCAAGGAGGAAGGCTGGTATGTGATGATAGATCACACACCCTGACCACAATGACGAGTTCATTTTGGCCACACGTCAAAAACACTGATGGGGTTTTGCAACTAATCTTCTGAAAAATGTTGCAACTATGAAGTTAGGCAAGGATTGATATCTGATATCAAGGGTAGGAGCATCGTAGGAGAATGTTTTTAGATTTTAATGTAACGTTGAATGCATTTAAGTGAATTATACACCGACAGAAAACTGTGCTTGTACCATGTCATTTACTTTTCTTTTAAGAGACGATCACAAATCTGTTAAACATACCCAAAGTTATATTGGACATAAGTAGGAATTAGATTTTTATTTTGGGAATTGAAGTTACCTTGCAGAACACATTAAAGGGATAATCTACAAAAAATGTAAACAAACACAAACAAAGGTGGAGCTGTAAGCTGTAAAAAGCTTGCAGTTTTGTCTCTAACAGCTTGAGTTCATGGTGACAGGTTTTCACTTAATAAACATTAATTAAACCTTCTCAAAACACACTTGCAGCATCATTAACAAGAGCTGAACACAAACTTTTCATCTTTCAAGCTAACAGACTTTGATAGTTGAAAGATAAGATTATGGGTTCTCACTTAAAGCTTTCTGTGAAAGTTCAGTATCAGGGACAATTGTGTTCATCACTTAAAGTGAGAATGCTGTATGGACACCAAAATGTGGGTATTCCCCCCCCCCATATTTTCCATAAATACAATACTTCAATACTCAGTGGAACAAGATAAAAACTGAATATTCATTCATTTCACAGTGATAACACCAGAATGTAAGTGAATCGGCACAGTACATGATGAATAAAGCTGCTAACCTGTCTTTCACAGAATGTACAGCTGTTTAAAATGCAATCAGAAAACATGTGCAAATGAACAACTTGAAGTGTAACGGCCTTTTAAAATTTGATGTACAGCACATCTATGACACCGCGGTATTCATGTGCAACATATTCAGTATATGCAACAAATTCCTTCACCAAATGCTGGTGCACAGCCAGGCAGTATCACTCTCATTACCAAAAGTGCAGACATGTGACTTTTCTTGTGACACAGATGTGCATGCACCTGCAGAATCTCCAACCTGCTTTGCAGCCACTTTGCTGTAATGAGGTTCAATGTGAAGCAGAGACCTCCACCGCGCCCTCCGCCTTCGTTTGCCTTCTCATCCACAGAATATCATCGATCGGTCCCGACTCCACTGGCGCTGTCCTCTTCCCTCTGTGTGGAGGTGTCCTGTCCGGGCAGCAGCCCGTGGGGGGCGCCATGCGAGGGCTGCTCGCCTGCTCGACACTTGGAGGAGCAGCAGCAGCTGAGCGCGGCGCAGAGGCGCGTGCGGATTGGCCGAGTAAGCAACACAAACATGATGCAGTTGGCTGCTCCCTGCGAGGTGTTGCCAATTCCCTGTTGGGCCCAAACAGAAGCCGTTAAGGGGAGTGTAGCAGTTATAGATTATTACTTTAATGGGTTGAAAATGTGACAAAATA